ATGTGAATGCGGAAAATTATAAAATAAATATAACATTTTCTTGAAATAGTTGCTCCACGATTCGTGGTCCAGCCTCCAGTTTACGTAGCAGGTTACGAAGACTGGAATACAACCATCACATGCAATATATTTGGGTTTCCTCCTCCGCGGATCGAGTGGACACGAGCACTGCAAGCCATGCCTAAGGGACGCCACGTAACCACTAACAACAGACTTGTTATCACGAATACAAAGAGACACGATAAGGGACCCTACATGTGCAGGGGCATTAATAACCAAGGAAACGTGTTTGCCATGGTAGTGCTAAATGTTTATTCTGTCAGTAAGTAACGATTTCATGTCTAATATAATCGATTGAAAATGATTTCAAAGTATAGCGATCACTGTGCAATAAAAATTGCATATCAAATAACAAATATTTGATGCTTGTTTTTCATTGGAATATTCAGTGCGAATTATTAAATGATAAAGTAAACATTGTCTTGAATAATAGAGTTTAACAAAAATTGTGATATTTTCAGTTACTCCAGTCATTGTGCAAACATCGCCTAATAACGTGACCGTAGATAAAGTCATGAGCCGAGTCAAATTAAACTGTTCGGCTACTGGATCACCGCTTCCAACGATCGAGTGGAGCAAAGATGACCGACCTTTATCTGTTAGCACTACAGTTCGCCAAACCAATAAAGAAACTATAGGCGAATTGGTTATTGATTCGTTCATGCCTCGAGACCAAGGACGATACAAATGCTTTTTTAGAAACTACGAAAATGGAACGGCCGAAACTGAAATACAAGTCTGTAAGTTTAAAAATCTAGGAATCATAATGCAGCTTTGCTCCACAATAGTACTATCTCCATTGACCTACCAATCAATAATGCCATCACTCAATAATTCATCCAACCCATTAACAATTCCATTATCCATGTTTAAAGTGAGAGAAAGTAAAGAAACGAAAGAATGAAAAACATTATCCCAATGTCACAAAAAAGCCATCATTGAATACTTAATGCAACAATCCAGACACTACCCACGTAACATGTCCATAATGCCGGACCCAAAATAAATGTCATAAATTCCTTATAGCACTAATGAGCTGTGGCGATCCTGGAAAACCATTGAATGGCTATCGCACTGGCAATGAGTTCTGGGCTGGGAATATGGTATTTTATTCTTGTGATCCTAGTTATTATTTGGTAGGACCATCCAATCGACTTTGTCTGGAAAATGGTGCATGGAGCAACGCCATTCCAACATGTAGGTTATTTTGTTATTTTATTCGATTTTAATCGCACTAGCTGAAGAGTACTTAAGATTTCGTAGACATTGATAAGGACAAGGGTATCGTTAATTTTGATATGACACTCAGAAACCTTTGTTTGTCTTAACTCACCTTTTATCTTGTGAGATATTGTTTTTGCTGTTGTTCACTACCTTATATAAGTATTTAACGTTCAGAGCCACGATAAATTATTATTGGTTTCGTGCTAATACACATTTTCTTCCGCATGAATGGTTTTAGCTCTATAGGTTTTCTCCGTAAATTTCTCGAAAGAGAAGACATCTTTTTTACTTGCCCCGAGAGTGGTCACTTACAGTGCACTTAGTTAAATTGCTCTCAGAAATCGTCCTATATTTCTTTGTTGTTTGTAATAAATGTTCCAGTTTTAAGAAAGAACGCCTTTTTTAAGTCCTACACAAGACATTTCAGCTTGCTCGGTGTTGTTATCAATATCATTTTCATCTTATTTTCTATCCAAACGATCTTAAACAGTACGGTTATGATTAATTGCTGTTTGACAGCAATAGATGCAAATATGCACTCTTTTCTATTTATGGACTTAATTTGCATTTGCCAGGTCTCCGTCTTTGTCCTGAGATGGTTTCTCCTGCGAACGGATACATGGTAGGTGGTTTCCTGGCCAACAACACTCTCACTTTCAACTGTAAACCTGGTTACTGGCTCCGTGAAAATCATCAACTGCTATGTGATCCCAACACAGGAAGCTGGAGAGGTTGGAATGGAACTATTGTCACTGAAAACCCGCAGTGTAAAAGTAAGTGGATGATCTCAGATAATTTTCTTTAAGTGCACAGAAAAACCCTGAAAATCCGGGTTTGCTTTGAAAGACCTGTCTGTTTTTTTTTCAGACATCGACGAGTGTTCGAGAGGCGCTAATACTTGCAACATTAATGCCCAATGTACCGACACAGTTGGGTCATATACATGTCGGTGCAACCCAGACTTTGAAGGAGATGGACGGTCATGTTCAATGACTCAGGTATTTCAATAGCGTTCGAAATCATTGTTTCAGCCCTTCAATTTTTTTATAACTTAATCACTTTGCAGTCCTTTGAAAAATTCCTAACAACAACAACAACAACAACAACAATCTTTATTTCATTTCCATATACTATACATATTTACATTTTTATTGCATATTTTCGTAGAAAACAATAGTAGATTTATATTAATCTTTATAGGAAAATATGCTTTGCATTCAAGGAAATGATTAGAGACGGTAAGGGAACCGTAAGGTTTTCAAAGTTAGACTCTAGGCAGTTTAAGTTATAAGTTGATATGTAGCTTCACACACAACATATAGAAAACATACAATAAGCAGGGAAGCAATAATAACACACATGAAAAGTTGTCACGCAAAATGACAAACAAATGGAATGAATAATTCAAGAATTGAAGAGAATACTAGAGGTGGTCGATTAGTTTTCACATAATTGAATTTGTTTGTTTAAAAGGTAATCTTTAATCTTACTTTTGAAGCTAAATGTAGACATTTGTTTGTACTCTGAGGGTAGATCTTGCCAGAGAATTTTGCCACTGAAAGTATAGTTTGCCTACCAGTGTTCGTTCGAAAAGGGGGTTTATGAAAATTGTCCTTCGAAGCATATCTAGTATTGTAATTATGAATATTTTTCGCATATTTGAAAGAATGTTTAAAGATATCTGCTAATTTTTGATTGTGCCAGGAGAAGGTGAATTTTAAAACTTCAATTTTATAAATGTTTTCTACTGTTAGAATATTGAGCAGATTTAATAAAGGTAATGGGCTTTCTGTATTTTTACCATATAGAGTTGAGAAAAATATGATTCTGGCTATGTGGTTTTGTTTAGTTTGGAGTATTTTGGTGATTGTTTTACATGCAGTACCCCATGCAGTAATAGCATAGGATAGGTATGGATAAATAAGGCTATAATAAATTTGACGAAGTTGTGTAGGTGAGAGGTAGTGACTAACCGCTAACTTATAATAATAAATTTATCAAAACAGGGTTCGTACAGATTTTTACATATAAAATTCAAGGACTTTTCAAGGACTTTTTAAGGATTAATTTTCAGTTTTCAAGGACACCAATTACAAAGAGAAAGATACAGTTAATAAACTTACTAGTCCTATGTCTTACCAAACAGAACAATAAAAACATTGTAGTCAACCTTTTTAAGAACTTTATCTCTTGGAACATATTTTTCTCAATCTCTATTAATTTCTTTGCCGCCCTATTGCACAGTAGTACAACAGACAATGCCAAAAGGATTGAAATATTATCAATTTGCTTCAAAGCTTGGCAAAATTGATCTCTAAAATATTACTTCACAACAACCAAGACTGATTCAAGGACTAAATTATCATTTTCAAGGAGCTTTCCCCAAAATTCAAGGACTTTTCAAGGAAAATTTGCATTTAAGGACTTTTCAAGGACCTAGCTCCAAAACCAAGGACTTTTCAAGGCTGTACGAACCCTGCAAAATATAGGGTATTCAAATTTAAGATTTTAATTTATCAGAATAATACAGATTGGCGATTAAAAAACCTTTAATCAAAAAATTTTTTTGGCGAGAAAAAAGTGAAAAATCATATCAAATTATGATGCACCCGATATAGTGACATACATTCCCAGTAGGATGAGCAAACAAACTTATTTCTACAGGCACATTACCAAGATTCGCAAGGTTGGACTCTTATTGCTCGATTCTCAAATAAAGATACAAAGAACTGGATGAGAGACGATGCTTCCTGGTGGTACACTCTTACAACTCCACAAGGAGACGTCAATAATCCAGGTGTAAACCAAGACATGATCTCCGCCGCCTTCTGGGTGATGAATGGTAACAACATCAAGATCACTCGCTCTGATGATCCTCACCACACGACCTTGCTGCAGACTACTTCAAACTGTTTTTCCACACAGACCTTCCGTTCAATGATCTCAAGCTATGGCATGTTTACGCGTAAAACGGCATGGGCAAGCAATCAGTGTCTCGGTAAATGTCACGTGTCATATGGGGGAAACTATCAGTCGACACATGGCTTTTCTCAGAGTCAATGTATAAGTAACATACAGAGCAGTAATTACATCGGGTTCTGGTGTGATTGGAGTAATGGTGATGGCGCAGTGATGATGATTGGTGGAGGAGGCAAGGATTGCGCAAGGGCTGATCATGGCATCGCAATTACGGAGGCTGACGCTGCATCATTTGTAGATGGTAGCGAATGTGATTTTGGAGATGGTGCTGGCAGTAAATGCGCTTCATCCTACTCTCTTAATTTGTGGATTAAGTGAACACTCGACGTACCGAATGACAGTGCAAAGATTTACTTTAGCTCTGTCGAAAGAGGCTTTTTTACTATTTTTACGATCTACCTCTTCCCTTTCAACCACAAAATGGACGAATAAGCATTTACATGAAACCTCACTAAAAGTCACGTGAAAGATGAAATATTCGAATAAAACTTTTTTCAAAAAAATTGTGTTTATTGCTCAATTATATAATTTAGTTCTGAATTTTGCCATCTTTTGATCAAAATTTTCAAAATGCTTGCGATAATTTTTGACATACACTAGCTCCTGATAGTTTAAAAGAAATAAAGGAGAGCGTTTTCGAGAAACTTGGATTTCATTTTTCAATATCTATTTATAAAGCCAAGACATCTACTTAAATGAATGATTGCTAGGCCAATATTTAACGCAATCGATACAGTTTTCCAAAAAAAAGTTAACAGGCCTTAACCTTCAAAAGCCTTTAATATGGTGGATTTTTATAGCCAATAGAGCTTCCTGATCGCTCACAATTAGTGCTGCAGCTTCTTTATTAACGTTTTCCCCTGGAAAACTGCGTGACCAACTTTGTATAAAAAATTGATAAAGCTATTATGATGACTATCGTATTGTCATAATTTTAGGTATGGTTGTATCAGATGAGTAATAAGCGGCAGAGTCTGACTTGAAGAGTCGATAATTCTGAGTTTTGAAGAATATTTCAATTCAAACTACGTGCTGTATGAGACATCCACGGGCTTCATTTATCTACGAGGTATCGATTTATATCTCGTTAGTACAAAAGCTACAGTAATTCCCGAGCAGTTTTGCTGTTCTATGATACGCTTGTTTACAGCCGAGTTCGTAATATGATATTTCGTTTAGAGATCGGAGTGCGATCGGGATGCAAAGGTCAACTCGAAGGCAAAGGTCTCAGCAAAACTATACGCGCTGCATTTTCTGACTCGTGACCCGGCCTAGGGCCCGGTCACGAGTAATAAACTAATTTTGATTAACTGCAGTGTATTCATATGCGAGTACTGATCACTATCATTCATGGATGTATGATATATATGTAAGAATTAGTAAAACCTCATGCATTTCAGTGCCGGATCCAGGTGTTTTCAAGTCAAGATCGGGGAATAGATGCCTATGCCTACGTCATATTGACGTCATATTTAACACAGGTAGTCCATCCAGTTGGTCGAGGAATTATGGTGATGTCTCGAACTGCTTGGAATACTTGAGCTTCGCAAATTACCAGTATACGACGCCAAAAACAAGGAATAACAACAGGAAACAACCCAAATTAAAACGCCTGTAATCTTTTTAATCAAAATTTACAAAATATATTTTTCTTGATATCCGAAAATTTAAACCTTAAAAAATGCCGTTGAAGAAAAAACCGGTGCAGCGGACCCCGTCGCACTTCCCCTAGATCCGCCACTGCATTTTGTGCGAGCAATAGCTTTCTTATTAGTACATGTACATTGACTTTAAATTTTAATGTTCTCAACAAACCTTACAAACTAAAATTAATTCTTAACTGATGGAGTCTATTATAAAAGGATATATTCACAACCGTCATAGAGGGATCTTAAAAAGGATAATTTTTATATATTGTATTCTAAAACTCATGAGTTATTCATTAGACATCCTTCCAATGAGCATTCAAGTATGGGTCACATGACAGGATCTATTACTCAAGTTACGAACACTGATTAATTAAACATGAGTTTTTATAACTAACCGGTTCAGTTAGTTATAACACTCATGCATAAAACATCAGTGTTGTAACTGATTTACAGACACTCGATGTATGCCCAACACTAGAAAAGTTCTGAGTTTTAGACTCTCATCATAGAACTTCACTAGGTCTCGAGCTAAAATTACTTATTTGCAGAGTCACAGTACACTAAAACATAGTGGCGCTTGGATGTGGGAAACCAAGTTGATTATACTGCTCATGCTCAGATGGAGATATCTTCATCAATTATTCATTTTTGATATTTTTTTATTTATTTCATGTTTATATTACTTGGGTTTGGGTTTTAGAAGTCATTTAAAAAAACTCGTAGTTCGTGTTTTATCGTAACATTCCTACTCGTTTTTTAAATATCACTAATAATTTCAACGGAATCTAATGTCAACTTCCGCTATTGCTAAGTCAGTCTATTTTTATGACCTCTTCTTAGATTAATACTCAAATTACAAAGAGGTGCATCAAAACAAGATATATAAGTTTTGGCATATTCCTAAAGCCATGGAGGGCAGTGGAAAATCTAAAACGAGTTGTATACTTCAGCTTGGTGTATTCCTGAATTTAGCCCTGACAATACTGTCTGTGGGTATTTGACGTACAGAGTGCATACTTTGGATGGACGAATCGTTCGATGTGAGCAAATCAAGAAAACAGAGTCAGACGCTTATGTATATAAAAATCGCCTGCCAAGAGCGGCTAACAATGGCTCGAGAGATCGGCCAACGAGTGCTTGTACCAAATGCAGAGATCAATGTTCGCAAATCTTCTCTTCTGGATCATCTAAAAAGGTATACGCAATTTTGTAATGTCTAATATGACTTTTAATGAATAAACAGGCGATTTCTTGATGTTTCAAGCTACAATGTAAACAATCTTCATGAATCTTATTTTATATAAATAATATCAAAGAGGCAAGATTTTGCTGTAACTCTTGCCTCTTTGATATTATATATATAACTAGCTCTACACTTTATGTGTATTGAGCACTCTTTAATGGGATCAGCTACTTCCTCATACAATTATGAATCTTATTTTACATATTATCCATATCAAATGACAAACTCGCCAAATTTGTGACCTCTATGAAGTGCAGGGTACATTAATAAAACTTCTATTTATCTCATAGTTGAAACCTCCAAAACAATCAAGTAAAGGAGTTTGTGTCAGAGGTATGACATTTTCTCACAATTCCAGCAACCTGTTTGCTGATTTTATTTCATGTGTAAACAGAAAATTTCCATTTGTTAATTTAAGGTCCGCCCGGAGCACCGGGTCCACAAGGGCCGAAAGGTCCAAGCGGGCAAAGAGGAAGACGTGGTAAACGAGGGTTTCGAGGATCTCCTGGAATGCAAGGTCCACCTGGATTACCAGGTTCGCAGGGACCGAGGGGACTGCCAGGAACAGCGCTCTCTGGAAAATCTCCATCTATTGTCAATTCACTTGGTGTGTACTTGACCAGAATGAAATTTAGAATAATAAATACATGTAAAATATACAAGCTTATGTACTTTTTAATCTTTTTTGAAAGCTCTTCCAAAAATAACCAAAAGACCTCCATCTGTTCTTGTCACCAAAGAAGGCGATAATGTGGTCATTCCGTCCAAAGCCTCTGGTTTCCCTAATCCTAAAATCTCGTGGTACAAAGACAACAAGAAAGTAGACGAGCGATTACATACTACTGGCAGTCTGCAAATAAGCAGTGTTAAGTTCGAAGACCATGGGGTTTACTTCTTGAAAGCAAAGAATTTCATTGGTCAAGCAACAGCGAAAATGAAACTTGTTGTAAATGGTAAAGGCCACTTTCAAATGGGTTTAAAGGAATGATCTTTGCTCAGGCAATGAAAACTTCAAATCAACTGAGTTCAACTCACTTCTGAGAACTGCACAGTATTTACCAGTATTTAAAGGGATGTTCTAGAAAAGGTTTTCATTTCTGATCTTTTTTAATTCAAAGACTTTGAGCTTAGAAAATRA